GGGGATTTTTAAATTTGGTATAAATTTTTGTGGGATTATCGAAATGGGATGGGGTTTGCTTTATAAAATACAGTAAAAAATTAGGTATTTTTTGAGCCCAAAAAATTTCGAAAAAAGTCAAAATTTGAGGTGTAGGGGTCTAATTTCGAAAAACCCAAAATTTTTCGGTTTTTCGAAATTTTTTCGGGATTTTTGGCGGCGGTTCGGGCCGAAGGTATTTTTCCTGGATAAAAGAGATTTTTCTGCATCTGCTAAGGTTTTAAAATCTTTAAAAAAGTTATACTTAGGTGAGATATGATTTTTTGAAAATTTTAGTGAATTTTTCAGGCAGAAATTTCCGGCCAAAAAATTTTAATTTTAAAAATCAAAATATATGTGGCAAATGAGATATCATTCGAAAGCTCTTATTGAGCTGGGTATAAAAATATTTTTTTCAAAATTTTTCGGTACATTTTGACGAAGTTACAAATGTTCGAAAATTTATAGTGTTGGACTACCGTACCCGGAGAATGATGGGAGGGAGAGAGGAAAAATGATTGACAGGTCAAATGTAAGGAAGAGAGGAGAAATTTTTCTCCGTCTCTGACCATGGGGGCAAACCGTAGAAGAGTTTAAAGGTGAATTTTGATATTGGGGGAAATTTTATGGGGGATAAGCTGGATCCTGTTATGGATCCGAAGCAGAGATGCTTTGTGAAGCAGTTTCTGCTTCGAAATTTTGTTCTACTTGAACGGACGAGTCCAATCAAGGGGAAGCCGAGGGCCGAAGGCCCGAAGTGACTCTAATTGAAATGGTGAGTCCAATCGAGGGAAAGACAAGGGCCGAAGGCCCGAAGTGACTCTAAGTGGAAGGATGAGTCCGAATAAAGGAAAGACGGGTCTAAGTGGAAGGATGAGTCCGAAGTGACTCTAAGTGAAAGGATGAGTCCAAATAAAGGAAAGACAAGGTTCTATGTGGAAGGATGAGTCCGAATAAAAGAAAGACAAGGGTCTATGTGGAAGGATGAGTCCGAAGTGCCTCTAAGTGGAAGGATGAGACCAAATAAAGAAAAGACAAGGGTCTATGTGGAAGGATGAGTCCGAAGTGACTCTAAGTGAAAGGATGAGTCCGAATAAAGGAGTCCGAAGTGACTCTAAGTGAAAGGATGAGCCCGAAGTGGCTCTGAGTGGAAGGATGAGTCCCAACACTCATCCTTCCACTCAGACCTTCGGCGAGGGCCGAAGGCCCGAGCTGACACCCATCTAAAAGGGAGGGCGAGTGACTCTAATTGAAGTGACTCTAATTGAAAGGAGGAGTCCAATCGAAGGAGGAGTCCAACCCATCTAAAAAGAAGGGCGAGGGCCGAAGGCCCGAGCTGACACCCATCTAAAAGGGAGGGCGAGGGCCGAAGGCCCGAGCTGACACCCATCTAAAAGGAAGGGCGAGGGCCGGAGGCCCGAGCTGACACCCATCTAAAAGGAAGGGCGAGGGCCGAAGGCCCGAGCTGACAAAAAGGGAGGGCGAGGGCCGGAGGCCCGAGCTGACAGCCATCTAAAAGGAAGGGCGAGGGCCGAAGGCCCGAGCTGACACCCATCTAAAAGGGAGGGCCAAAGGGTGGAAGGATGAGTCTAAGTGGAAGGATGAGTCCAATCGAGGGGAAGACGAGGGCCGAAGGCCCGAAGTGACTCTAATTGAAAGGAGGAGTCCAATCGAAGGGAACACGAGGGCCGAAGGCCCGAAGTGACTCTAAGTGGAAGGGCGAGTCCAATCGAGGGGAAGACGAGGGCCGAAGGCCCGAAGTGACTCTAATTGAAAGGAGGAGTCCAATCGAAGGGATCACGAGGGCCGAAGGCCCGAAGTGAAGCTAAGTGGAAGGGTGAGTCCAATCGAGGGGAAGACGAGGGCCAAAGGCCCAAGTGACTCTAAGTGGAAGGATGAGTCTAAATGAGGGGAAGACGAGGGCCGAAGTCCCGAAGTGACTCTAAGTGGAAGGATGAGTCCCAATGAAGGCTTATCTTTTGTTCCAGGCATAAAAAATCGCTAGCGGCGCGCGAAGCGCGCCCCCAAAGCCGTTAGGCTTTCCAACGGGCAGAAGTATCGTAACCTAAAGAACCCCCCGATGTATTTTACTGCCACAGTGTCCTGATATCAACAACAGTGGCCAAACCCATCGCTAGTTTTTTCCCACAAAAATATTAAAAAATATTAATTTCCCTCTTCTCTTTCCCATGAAATTAGACAAAATTTTAAATTTCTAAATTAGGTGTTGTAATTTTTTATCTTGAGAATTTTGGGATATAGTTTAGTCGAGGGCCTGCACCGAACCGGGACAAATGATATGTCAATCGATTCGTCTCGGCGAGCTGAGTCGAACGGTACCACTATCCAGGTGCGGAAATGCCTGTGGACCAAGATATAGGTCCTTGAAATTTGAAAAACCATAGGGGGGAGTAAGCACTTTTTGGGGTGAAAAAATCGATTTTCTGAATAATAGCTCATTCGAAAGAGCTCCTCGAGCTGAGTCGAATGACACCAAAATCACTGTGATTGGACGAGTATGAACCGATATATAGGGCTCGAAATGGTCAACTTAAACCTATGGAGCGTCGGCGAGGCGCTTGTGCAAAACTCCGCGCTTCGCGCGGAGTTTTGCGGCACGCGCCTCGCGGGGAGTCTACGGTTGCTGGGTCTTGGCTCGTAATTTAATCCTATTCCTTTTTACTGATTCTCAGCCTTGAATGCCGACCTACCCTCCGTAGCAACACCAAAACTGTTATTCAAGCGAAAATTGAATTGTTCATAATTTTGTTCAGAATGATCGGATCGAGCTGATTTTTGTGTCATTCAACTCAGCTCGTCGAGCTCTTTCGAATGAGCTATCATTTGTACAACCGAATTTTTGACCCCAAAAATCACCCCAGAAAATTTGACCATTTCGAGCCCTATATCTCGGTTCATACTCGTCCAATCACAGTGATTTTGGTGTCATTCGACTCAGCTCGAGGAGCTCTTTCGAATGAGCTATTATTCAGAAAATCGATTTTTTCACCCCAAAAAGTGCTTACTCCCCCCTTTGGTTTTTCAAATTTCAGGGACCTATATCTCGGTCCACAGGCATTTCCGCACCTGGAGAGTAGTACCGTTCGACTCAGCTCGCCGAGACGAATCGATTGACATATCATTTGTCCCGGTTCGGTGCAGGCCCTCGACTAAACTACAGCCGAATTTTGTTTATATGTACTTTTAGAGTACAGATTTGCCGGAACCCACAAAGCACTGACTTCATCATCCATAATTTCTAGAAATTAAAAAAGAAAAATATGTAGTCTATTTAATCCACAATATCACTCTTACCAACACTAAATCTCTCGATACACCATCAGTCCTTCAATATCCCACTTAATTCCTTAAAATCCATTATTCCTAGTTAAAATCCACTTATATCCCACTTGATCCTTCGATATCAAATACAATTCCATTGATATTACATTTAATACATCCAAATCCACCAATATCCCATTTATTAATCTTAATCTCATTAAACTATTAGGTCTATTCTGTTATTCGTTGGTTATAGAAAAATTTTTGAAAAATCAAAAATCTTTTTTTTTTCGATATATTTCGGTTTCGATATTTTTCGATATTTATCGAAAAAATATCGACCGAGCCCTCTGTCCGGGCTCTATTAAAAATAACACTGGATTCGTGCATCTTCAAGCATTAAGAAGATATAAAGGAGGAGTTTTATTCTCCAAAATTTGTTAAAAAAATATATTTAAAAAATTTATTTAAAAATAAAGAGATCAAATTAAATATGTACAGTGGCGGAAATTTAGTTAAGAAAAAATATCTTTATTAATATTTCTGAAAATTATTTTTTCAAACATTAACTTTGAATATTCAATTTTATATAATTTTGTAGCTCTATTTATAGGCTATCTAATGACCATTCATCTTTTAAATAAAAGTTAATTATTAAGCGGGAAAAATTCATTCATCAAAAGAGGGTCTAAAATTGCGCGGAAATTTAGTTAAGAAAAAATTACCCCCATTTATTTTTCATAGTTCCAGCATTAGGAAAAATCCACAAAAATTCCAATAAATATATAAATTCCAATAATAATATAAACAAATAAAGAAAATTAGACCCATATCTCCATTAGCTGTCGAGATCTGGGCATCTCAAAAACGTCTAAAATCAGCTTAAAACACAGGTAGGACTCTTTAAAAAATATTTTCGACCCCTTACAGGCAAAATGAAAATTTGATTTTAGGCTCTTTGGAAAGCCCTTAAAATTTACTACAAGATAGCCGAATCGAATTTTTCATAAAAAAATTTTTTTAGAGAGATACAGGCCACTAACCCTACGAAGCAGCCGTAAGAGGCATTTTATGGGGTAATTTAAGCGTATTTCGCCGCTTCGTAGGGTTAGTGGTCTGTATCTCTCTAAAAAATTTTTGTATAAAAAATTCGATTTGGCTATCTTGTAGCAAATTTCAAGGGCTTTCGAATGAGCCCAAAATAAAATTTTTATTTTACCAGTAAGGTGTCCAAAATATTTTTTAAAGAGACCTACCTGCGTTTTACGTTGATTTTAGACGTTTTAGAAGTGACCGGATCTTGACACTGAGCAGAGATATGGGCCTAATTTTTTTTATTTGTTTATAATATTACTATATATATTTGTTGGAATTTTTATGGATTTTTCCGAATGTTGGAACTTTGAGAAAAATAAGTGGGATATTTTTTCTTAACTAAATTTCCGCGCAATTTTTGACCCTCTTTAGAAAATTGAATTTTGCATGCCTAATCATTAACTCTTATTTAATAGATAAGTGATTATTTGATAGCCTATAAATAGAGCTACAAAATTATATAAAGATTTGGATTCCAACTTTACGTATGAAAAAAATTTTTTCAAAAATATAACTAATAAAATTTTTTCTTAACTAAATTTCCGCCACTGTATTTATTTATTTTGGCAAGTAAAAATATTAAAATTAATAAACTGGCTAGAAATTTAAGAATTTCTCCGTCCTTGTCGACATAATCCACCACAAAGACCGTACAAATAAGGGTTGATAACAGAATTGAAACTAAAAAATATATTTTTTATAGAAAATTATTAAAATTATCTTTTGTAAAAGACCCCCCCCCCCTCTAAGGATGGCGGTTCCTGGGAAATCATCTGATATCCGGAACAGGAACCGGTATCCGAACCGAAAATCTCCGGATATCCGCAGTTTTTCCGGTTCCGATAGACCTTACCGAACCAAAGAACCAAAAATTTTTCGGTTCAGTTCTTCAGTTCGGTTCGGATATCCGAAGAATTTCCAGGAAACGACAACTCTATTTATGAGAACCAAAAAATAAAATTTTAATAGGAAAATGAATATATTTTTAATTAAATATTTAAATATATTTTTATTTCTATTAATAATTTAATAAAAAATAATTTCTAAAAAACTTACACAATAATTCCATTTAAATTATATACTTTACTAGCATGTTTTGAATATAATTCTGGGTATATGAATTGTAAAAGTGATAAACAATTGTATGGTAACCAACAAATAAAATAGCCCATTACAAGAAGAAAACTAACACGAATTGCTCTATTTCTTAAAAAAATATTTTTATAATTTGATTGTAATGTAAAATTTAGGAAAAAATCAAATCTTCAAGTCTCGCCTTATCTTATATCCTTTAATAACTACCCTGGGTAATTATTGTTTCGACCTTCCGCTGAAGGGAGTAATTAATCGAGGGAGGGTAATTATACGAGGTTTGAAATTTGAACGTGATTTATGGCATTTGTTGGTGGTAATTATTGTTTCAATCCATCGCTGGATGGGGTGATTATTTGAGGGAGGGCAATTAATAGGTACTTGGCATACGGTATCTTTTATTTTTCCCCACAAAAAATTTTTTCCAGACTACAAATTCGCACTATTTTTTGGAGGCATTCCTCGTCCTTTTCAACTTTTATTTTTAGTTTTACTCTTCCTTATTAAAATAATTTCAATATTTTTCAAAACCTTTGTGATTTTGCACTATAAGATGATGATTGCCTTTGCCTTTTTGAGGCTAAAAGTAAAGCGGCAGCTGCTTCATTTGAAGTAGTGGAACTATTTCTTTGTTCATTTTCCCTTTGTTTAACCATTTCTGCTATTCCATTTAAATGCTTATTTTGTTTTACTTCCGAAGAATCAATTCCCGGTTGGGGTGATTGACTTGGGGATAAAGATAGAAGCATTTCATCGTTTAATACAATCATTGGTTTTTTGGTTTTGGGTGCTTAAATTTAAAAAAAATAAAATTATTTTAGAAGAAAATTTGAATAATTTAAAGAAATTTTTATTTTAATTATTTTAAATTATGAATATTTGGGGAAGGGTTGTCGGTTCGGAATGAGGAAACTGAGGATTGCGGAGTTTAGATTAGGGCCCCCGACCCTTCGGGGGCGGGTGTGTCAAGGATCGGGGTTTGCCGGGGAAGGCATGTTGAGGTTCGGGTCGGGTTTTTTTGGAATTAAGCAGTGTTCATAAATTTCAAGTTTGCCTCGTACTCGTACTTCGTACCACCCTTAATTTTGGACTCGTACCACACCTCTAAGTTTTGCCTCGTACTCGTACCACCCCTATTTTTTGCTTGTACTCGTTGTACCAAAGTACGAGTACAAGTACAAATTTTGGTACGAGCTTATGAACACTTGAACTAAGTTGGAAGAGCTTGTATAATCTTTGAGGATTAGGTCAGATATCGCCAAAAACTCTAAACATTTTTAGACAATTTCTCTAAATCCAATCAAAAAATAGCTAAATTAAATTCTTAAAATAAATTTTTTAATATTTATTTGTAAGGGGTTACTCTTATAATAAAAAATTATTATTATTTAACAAACATTCAATATTTGAAATATTATTAGTAAATAATGTTGTATTTTGAGTTTCATGGCCTTGTGTAGTTGTGCTGTTATTTATTGGAGCAAGTTGATAGGAAACACGGCTAGAACGTAAAGCAACTAACATTCCACCACCACCTCCATTTGATGCCTAGAAAAATTAAATAATTTTATGATTAATTTATTTTAGCATTTACTGCTTTCCAATCCAAAAATAAATACTCCGATATCACTCTTGATCCTTCGATATTATGCCCAAATCCTATAATATCCCTCTTAATCCCTCCAATTCCTCGTATATCCCCCTTAATCCTCCCTAATAACTTAAATTAGTAAAACTAAACTAAGGCATATATTATTTTCTTTGGATGGAGTTTTGGTAGTACTGATCGAGTTTTGTCGGTTGGAATTTTATCTGGTGGAAGTTTTACCCTAACTCGCTTTTATTTCTATTTAATTGTCTTATTGTTAAGCTTACAACCAAGATATGTACTATACTTCTATTAATTAGTTTAATAATTAATTATTTTTATATTTCGGAGTTCTACAGGGTGAAGTTCCTTATTTAATTCCCCAAAGTTCCTTATTTAATTCACTATCATTTAATATTTATTTCATCCCACTAACTAAATTTGAATAAGGTTATGGCATAAATAATGTGTCCCATTACTTTTGGGTCACCCTGTACTAAACAAAAATATTAATTAAACAATTCACATTCTGCCCTGAAAAATATTAAATCAAATAAAAATAACACTAAATTTTATTGCTAAAAATATTTTTAAATTTTTAAAAAATTTATAAACATTTTGTGCTGTTTGATGTTTCTGACTTTGCTGTGCTTGTTGGTTATTTAATAAATTAACCATTTGTATTTGTTGTTCCCCAATTCCATCCTTTTCAGCAGAATTAACCAAATCAAAAAAATTTGGTTTAGAATTAATATATACCCAACAAGATAAAAGTAAATAACACAACTTTTAAATTTTGAATTTAAAATTAAGAAACTAAATAGGTACCATAATGATACAAGCTGGAATCCAAAAAATAAGTAACATATGTAAAATCATGTAAATACTTTCCTCATCGAGTAACTAATTTAAATAAGATATAATTAGTTTGAATAATCGTTTGCACTAAAAGGCATCCCGGATCTTCAAAAAAATAAGGAGAATGCTAGCTTAAAAAAGTAAAGCACATCTGGACTATAGCTATTTCTCTTCTTTAGCTAGTGGAAAAGGTTATTCGGCGGCTGGGAGCGAACTAGCATCCTCAGTAGACCGGACTGATGTGTTATACCTTACACTGCGCTGCCTACTGCACAGCTACCCCTATTATTTAACTTGAGAGTCGCTTAACTTCTTGATAAGTTCGAAGATTTATTCATATATTCTCTATTATAATTATTAACATAAGCTAATAGTTAAGTAAAAGTTTAGCAGCGAACAGCTCCGATCCTTCAACATCCTGGCAGTTATTGCTAAGAGCCTCGCTCACCACGTATTTACTCCTCTACCGAGAGAGCTATCGGAACGTTGTCCCCCCATCCCACACCGCCTAGACAGTTGGATCTCCCTTTTCTTTACACTCAAGAATAATTTAAAATAATTGGGTATATTAGCTTAATTTTTAAAAATTAATTATTTAATCTAACTTTGCTGTCAAGCAATTTTATTGTCGAATCATTAGAAACGAGGTGAAAATTATTATTTCGTTGTAATTGTGATCGTTCTATTTCCCATATTTGCATACTTTAAAATTATTTTTAAAAAATAATTTTTTGAAAAAAAATTTTAAAAAACCATTGACTCCATGGGGGATTGTCAAATGCCTGATATAATTTCCAAACAACAAATTGGGGGGCTGAAATAACAGCAGCAGCAATCCAAGCAATTAAAAGCATTATTCTCATTCGGCAAGTTGCCTAATGAGATAAATTTGAAATAAAAATTAAGAAAAAACCTGTCCCGGATTTCGATGTGAAACACTAAGAACAGAAAGTAAACGATCGAGGGCAATACAAACAATTACATTAGATGAGATCTATGTAAAAAAATAAACTTTTTATTTTTTACCCCCTTGAGTTAAAAATCCACAACTTTTTTATTACCTTACCGATTTACCTAATTTCTTTTTTATTTTATTAGCAAGAATGTTATCTATCTTTGAGGCAAATTTGTTATCATTATTACGGAGTATAATAAAGTTAAGGCCTATTTCCCGACCCATATCCAAAAATCATTTTTGGACTATATCTTGTTTATGATCTAAATTCTCCGCTTTGACCTTAAAATATGGGTTGTCGAAGATATGGGTTTTTAATTAATTTTAATAATTAATTATAAATTTTATTAAATTGGAAGAATAAAATAAGTAATAAGGGAGAAAATCTCATCTTTGTAGGTGCGAACTTTTGCCCAAAATTTTTTCACGCGCCTTAAATTTGTATCGAGCAAAGGATGGGCTTTTCAAAAATTCTTGATTATTTATATTCCCCATTTATTTCTCTATTATTTAAGCATTATTTGATCTTATTATCTTAAATTTAAATAAAATTATTTCAAAAATAGTTTGTGCAGTCACTTTTATGTCACCCTATAGAAAATTTTTTTATCTATCTCAATAATATAAAAAAAATTCAAGTTTGGATTTTATTTTAATTAAAAATACTAAAGGATAAGAATAAACAATCCAGACCCTTTATCTTATAAAAATATTTTCAATTATTAATTCTATCTAAAACATTCCAAATATTTTTATACCTGAAAAGCAAATGTATGGGCAAATTTTATTAATCTACATAAAAGGTCTCCACCACGCCAATCATATGTTACTAACCTTAAAATAATTGTTAGAAAAACATAATTAGAATTTATTTAACTAACCAACAAGCTCTAGAAGGAACGTAAATAAAAAGAACTAAAAGATCAGAATAATTTAAATGTTTTTTAAGCATGTCCAATCTTGATGAAACTGGCTTTTCTGAGATCTATAAAATATTTATTATATTATCTGTATTTTATTTTTATTTTAGAATTTTTAAATTTTCTCGAACTCTCATGATAGATTAATTTCTAACAGAATTTTATTAAAGAAAACAAAGTTAAGATAAAATATAACAAAAATTTCCAATTAAATAATGATAATACCGTATATGCTCGATAATTACCCTTGGTAATTATTGTTTCGACATCTCACTGGAGAAAGTAATTAATCGAGAGAATGGGCTAAATTTGGGGTATATCTCAATAAATCAAAGAGGAAATCCATTTATTTTTTGATATTGATTCTTATAATGTTTCAATAATTAAAATAGAAAATGATTTTTTCAATATTTTTAAAATTATAGAAGGAAAATGAGGGGGTAATTATTAAAGAGGATAATTAATTGAGAGGGGCTAATTATTCGAGCATTTACTGTAAATATTATTATTTTTATTTATTATTATTATTATTAGTATAATCTATTTGAAATGAAAAATTCTTTTTAGTTTATACAGCTGATTCATTTTATAAACAAAAACAGAATTCATAAAGCCTGTCTAGTTTATTAAATAAACACACCTGTGTCCATGCAGCCAAATTCAAAGGTGCACCGATAATAAAGAGAATAATCAAAGAAATTAATTCAATATAATCACTAGTTATTTTTTCTGGTGGGCCAGCGGATACTAAAAAATATTTTTTGTAATTAAAAAATATTTTTTTTAATTTTATTTTTAACCTTCAGTTAATAATTGTTGTTGATGGGGGCTTGGAATGACATCCATTAGTTGAATATATTCTTTATGATAATTAAAATAATTTTAAGATTTTAAAAAATTTATTAAGAATTTAAAAAAAATCTAAAAAATAGACGGGAATTATATTTGAAAATTAATTATTAAAGGAAGTAGTGTGTATTAAGGTTTCACCGGAACTTCCTGAAAGTTCCGGCGTTCTTTTAACTCAAATTGGATCCGGTTCCGGTGAAACCTTAGCGTGTATGCTCTGTGAGGGAATAGTAGTTTTGCAGGTTAATTTCGGGAAGATTCAAAAAAAATAGGCCGCAAATGTTAAAATTCAAAAGATTTACGTGCTTGAGGAAGTGAAATCACAAAAACTACAAATTCCCTAAATTTTAGAGAATTATTAAGGATTATTATGTTATAATTTTAGGAACCATTACAAATTATTTTTAAAAATATATTTTTAACGACAAAATTTTATTTTAATATTTTTACATAGAAAAAATAGAAATAAAAAAGTGTATCAACAATTTACATATTTTTAAAAAATACTACGTGTGATAGTTGAATGCACTTTTATTGCCCTTTTCCTCTATTTACGGGCTTTTTCAATGAAATGTTATTTTAATCAAAAAGCAACACAATAAATGCAGTAAATGAACAGAAAAACAGAAAAAAATATTTTTAAAAAATATTTTTTAGTAATATTAAATAAATAAATAAATTATTTTATTCACAAAAGAATAATAAAAAAATAATTTTCTTTATGCTTAATTTAAAAAATAGGAGAGAAATTTACTATATACAGTGGCGGAAATTTATAATACTTGGGAAAAAATTTTTTCATGGTTTTTAAAGTTTTACTCAAAGAATACTTTCTTTGGCCTTCTTTATTTTTTTTTATTTTTGTAGCCCTATTAATTACCTATAAAATGGTTATAGACTTGTCCCGAGAAAACTTTCACAATTTGATGAAGAATGGAAAAAATTCTGACTTCTAATGCTTAAATTTAAAAAAAAATAGGAAAGAAAATATATAAAAAATAATTTTTAGCATTATAAAAAATATTTTTTAGTAATATTAAAAATAAGTATTTTTTATTCACATTTTCTTTATGCTTAATTTAAAAAAACAGGAGAGCAATTTACTGTATAAATTTAGTATTCTTGCTATGATATTCAAAAAAAGATTAAAAGTTTTTTTATTCTTCCGTTTTCATTTCCGTTTAAAATCCCTCAATTTTACATATATTTTCTATTTTCGTCACTATACATAATTAATTCGCGCATTTCGTGATGTTTATTTATTTAATTTCTAGCTAATATATTTAATTTTAGGTTCTCTAAAAAGTTTTTTTTTCTCTCAATTAATCTTTAACGTATTATGTCAAATATTTAAATATTAATCTATTTATAGAATAATTTCCGGTAAAAATTTTAAAAAATAACAAAAAGTACAAATAATTATTAAATAAAATTTTAAAAAATAATTAAAAAAAATAATTAACAGAAACAAAAATAGAATTTAAAATAAAACAATTTTAATTAAAATTATAAAATAATAGAAATAGAAAAAAAAGTCAAAAATAGGAAAAAAGGGCTGCACAGAATTGAAAGTTTCGCAACTCGAATTGCAAAAACCCTCGCAATTTACGCAATCCGCAACTCGCAATCCGCATTGCGTACAGCTCTGTAGGAGAAGCTTATTTTTATAGATAAGCTTCCCTCTTATTTTTTTAATCTTTTAAAATTTAATTAACTTTCAAGAATTAATTATTTTAAAGGAAAACTTTTTTTATTTTAAGAAACCATTTTTGGAGGGAGAAAAAATAAAAGATATAATTAAGAATAGATTAGTTTCTGTAGATATTTAAATGAGAGAGTAAATTAACATTCAAAAATAGAATATTAATTTAAAAATCTAAATGGTAATTAAAGAAATAAATTATTTAAAATATATTAATTAATTAATTTAATACAAAATTTTATTTAATCGCTTAAATAAAAATAGAAAAAAAGCAGAATGCAGAATATGAATTCCAGAATATGAATTCCGATTTACGATTTTTTCCTTCCAATTTGCGAAATTTTTAAAAAAGTTTGATTTCCGATTTCCGACTTTTGAGCTAGTTCCGATTTCCGTTTCTTCCGATTTTCAACACCTCTGACTGTTCCGACCCACCTCTGAAAAAAAGACAAAAAGTAAGCTGAAGAAAAGTAAGCTAGTCTGTTAATTATCACCTCATAATAATAATTACTCAAAGCAATAACCAAAGTAATTATTTCGCTATTATTAATACTTTCAAAATAATAGGTACTTGTTAAAAAATTTGTCTTTTAAATAAAAATCAGATATTAAATTTAATATTTGTTAAAAGATATAAAAATATTATTTAATAATGAAATATGAAACTGAGGAATTTATAACTTGAGTAAGATCTACTAGTATATCTGATTGAAAATTTAATAAATTTAAAATAACAAAATTGTTAAAAGTGGCAATTAAACAGACGTTGATTGGAAATAACGAAAATGCCAGGAGTCAGAATTCCGATCGACCTCTGCTATGAAATAAAGGTAAAGTAATAAAACCAGAGGTGGGTCTGAACAGTCAGAGGTGTCGGAAATCGGAAGAGCCGGAAATCGGAACTGGCTCAAAAGTCGGAACCTGGAAATCGGAAATCAAAATTTTTTTCGGAAATCGGAAATTGGAAGGAAAAAACGTCTGAACTTGGAAATTCCGACCTACCCACCTCTAATAAATACCTAATTATTTTAAAATAATAGTGAAGTATATAAAAAATTAAAAGAATATTCAAACTTATTAATAGTGCTCGACATTTTCACTTTGCCGGGCCCGGTATCCGGGTTTTTTTCTTCCGCCCCGACCCGGGCCGGGTTTTCCGGGCTAAAACCCCGAAAACCCGGAAACCCCGAAAACCCGGTTTTTTTACACCCGGGCCCGGACCCGGTTTTTTCAAAATTTGAAAAATACTTAAAATTTAGCTTTTTTTTGAAATTTCCTTATTTAAAATAGAAATTTATCAAAAATTTGCGGTCATCCCTCAATACCTACATCCAGAATACTGGAGAATCTGAAGCGATATCGGATTATCAAAGGATTTGATGGGATTAAGTGGGTTATTGGTAGATTTGAAGGTGTTAAATGGATTTAGATAAGTAGGCTTCTGGAGCGATTTATGTATTTTTTCTCGATCAATAGTTATCTTGGATTTTGCGAGATATCTGGAGAGTATATATCACCTAGGATGGATTAACCGGGATTTTGAGGTATATCGGGAAAAAATATTAATAAGATTTCGATAAAAATCTTTACGTAATAGATAACAGTAATATCTGTGATTTAAGTAATATCTGAGGAGGTAACCTTTTGATCTTTCGATAACACGCCCAAATAAGGATATGAGCGGATTCGAAGGGATATCGGAAAAAGAGGGAAGTAGAGGATATCGGTGATTAATACTGATAAATTCATAGATATCATTTATCCCTTAAATACCTCATGTCTGGAAGAATATCGGATTAAGAAGATTTGGAAGGACAAGAGGGATATGCAGAGTACCGGGCATTAGGGAGGATTTAGAACTCTAGAGGAACAACCTAGCTGATTTCTTACTTTTCAGCACCGCAGGCAAAAATTTTGGGAATTTTGATGTAAATAAGTAGATTTTTTCCCTTTTTTGACGCTGCAGGCGAAAATTTTAAGAAGTTAGGATGTTTAGGGAGATAGATTTGGCCAAAAAGTCAGACTTTTATTTAAAATTTGCTCAAACTTGGACCCGGGCCGGGCCCGGGTTTTTAGAACAAGACCCGGGCCGGGTTTTCCGGGCTAAAACCCCGAAAACCCGGAAACCCCGAAAAACCGGATTTTCTCAAAAATACCCGGTTCGGGGCCACCGGGCCCGGAAAACCCGGTCCCGGGCCCGGCCCGGGTCCGAGCTCTACTTATTAATTTAAAAATGTCAAAAAATATTTAAGGAAATAAGGAAGTAAAAACAGAAAAAAACTTTTACGCGCCTATTTTACTTTTCTGCCATGCTCTTTAATGCTTTCTATTTTACTATATTAAGCCAAAATATGTAAAAAAAATTATGAAAACACTTTTACTTTAGTAAAAGAGAGTTAAAGCCTTTGCGAGCGCTTTTACTTTCACTCTTTCTAAAGTCATTCAAAATTGCTTGAAAGAAATTGCGGATAAAAAAGCGGAAAAATATTGCGGACATAGAAAGCTAATTAGTTATAAATCTGAGTTTGGGGTTTCAATTAAAATATAAATTCTGATATATATATATTTTAATATATATATATTACCGTATATCCTTTAATAATTACCGTATATCGTAATTACCGTATATCCTTTAATAACTACCCTGGGTAATTATAATAATAACTACCCTTGGTACCCTGGGTAATTTTATAATTACCCAGGTTATTGGGTACCCTGGGTAGTTATAATAACTACCCTGGGTAATTAATGTAATTATTTGAGGGAGGGTAATTAATACAGGTTATACGGTATATTTAATTTGTGAACAAAGATATGTAGATGTCTTTATTTTCGGATTATTTAAACTGATTTATTGTTTTTTTTGTATTTATTTTTCGAAATTTTTAAGATCAACAAGTTTTCCGTAGCGTTTTATATTGCCAAAAGCTTGTAATGCCAAACCCCCAAAAACTGTTGAAATGCCAAAGCGTGGAAAAAAGCTTGTAATGCCAAACCCCCAAAAGCTGTTGAAATGCCAAACTGTGGAAAAAAGCTTGTAATGCCAAACACCCAAAAGATGTTGAAATGCCAAACCGTGGAAAATAGCTTGTAATGCCAAACCCCCAAGATATGTTGAAATGCCAAATGTTATTCCAACACAACGGGGGATGTTGTTCCGATGATGGGGGAAGTTGTTCCAATGACGGGGGATGTTGTTCCGACGATGGGGGAAGTTGTTCCAATAACGGGGGATGTTGTTCCGACGACGGGGGAAGTTGATCCGTCAACGGGGGATGTTGTTCCGATGATGGGGGAAGTTGTTCCGATGACGAGGCATGTTGATCCGTCAACGGGGGAAGTTGGTCCGTCAACGGGGGAAGTTGGTCCGTCAACGGGGGATCAACATCACACTTCCCCCATCACTGGAACAAACGTCCCCGTCATTTGAACAACATCCCCCGTTGTTGGAACAACTTTCCCTATAGTCGGAACAACTCCCCCAACCGTTGGAACAATTTTCCCCACAATTTGAACAACATTCCCCGTAGTACCGGCCCCTCCCCGCATTCCCGGCCTAGAGTTTTTCCAGCGAAAATTCAATTGGAACAACAACATCCTTGTTGTTGGAACAAACAAAAAATTTTAACAACAAATTCTATCAGAAATAACAAAAAATTTCTAGTTTTGTATTTATTTGGCATTTAAAGCTTTTTTCCACGGTTTGGCATTTCAACATATCTTGGGGGTTTGGCATTACAAGCTATTTTCCACGGTTTGGCATTTCAACAGCTTTTGGGGGTTTGGCATTACAAGCTTTTTGCATTACAAGTTTTGGCATTACAAGCTTTTGGCATTACAAGCTTTGGCATTACAAGCTTTTGGCATTATAACATCATACCCAAGTTTTCTCACCGCGATAGCAAAAAGGAAACGGTGAGAGGGATTGAGTATTTTTTGAGTGGAGAGCTCTCAAAATCAAGTCCCACCCAATCTTTTACTGCTTTCTAGGATGGGTTGGCCGTTTTACTAAGTAATTATTTGTTTTTTTAAAAGATTAATTAAATGTCCAAATTTCTAATAATAATTTAAATAAATATTTAAATTCTGATGTTAAATACACCAAAGTTCTAATCCGTGTCCGCAAACACTCCCCAACAAAATGCTAATAAATACATATACTAATATGGCTTTCCGTTATTGACAATTTTTCTATAGAAAAGAGAAGCATAGAAAATGTACATATATACAAAAAATATATGTATTTATGTTAAAGCGACAAGAAAAACTTGGGGGAATGGTCTACGGTTTTTCTTCTAATACCCCATTTAAGAATGGCAGATGTCTACTGCTTTATGTTCTTACTTGGCAATTTTTGTCTGTGTCCTTTAAAGGGTACATCTCATGTCAATCATTTCCCCCAACATTTTCTTTTATTTTCATTTCTAAGAATTAAAAGAAGAAAAAATATAAATAATTGTTCTGTTTTTTAAAAAAATACATAGAGACGTTCAATACTCTCGGTCTTGAGTATGACTGAGGAATTTTCTTGGGGATTATTCGGTCTTGGAATGAAGTAAAGGTGGGTCAGAACGGGAGAAGCCCAACGTACCGCAGAGCTATAACTTTGTTCAAAATAGTCGAATCCGGGACGCCTCGGTATGGTTCGATGCATCTCAAAAGCTGAATCTAACCATATCAGGGCGTCCCGGATTCAACCATCTTGAACGAAGCTATAGCTCTGCGGTATGTTGGGGGTGTACCCGGTCGGAACATTCAGAGGTTTCGGAAATCGGAAGAGCCGGAAATCGGAACTGGCTCAAAAGTCGGAACTCGGAAATCGGAAATCAAAATTTTTTCGGATCTTGAGTTTGTCTTGAGTCTTAGGTTCAAGTTTTGATTTGTATCTTGGAAAATTTTCGGTCTTGGACGTCTCTAATATTTAAATACATATTTTGTTAAAATATTTAAAGAAAATTTAGAAATTTAGTCTGGATAGTTTATGTGTCTATTGAAATCTTTTTTTGTTTAATTCCCTAGAAATTTCCCCTTTTTCAACAAAATAAAAGAATAAATTTGTGTTTAGTCAGAGAAATGCTTCTTCTTTTTATTTTCACATTTTATTTATTCCGGAAAAAACTAATTTACTTTCAATGTTCTTGAAGTAAATATGTTAATTTAAATATTTGAATAGAGGAAAATAAAGCAACATGTATTTACGATAAAAAGGGAAAAAACATAAAATCAACACAAAAAAAAGTAAAAAAATATATTTGTAAATAAAAAATAGCCTTTTGCTTTTTTATAAAAAAAAAGATTTTGATAAATGTTGAAATATACAAAATAGGTATAATTGTTGATAATTTTCTACAAAAATAATTATTAATGTAAATAGAAAACAAAAACATTTTAGGACAAAGGATTGGGAAAAGGGGAGGAGAATAAGCTAAATAAACACTTGCAATCTGAGTAGGTTACAAGAAATTCCGAACATTTTCTATCCATTTCCTTCCAAAATCTTAGTTTTAGGCAAAATTTAATTTTTAAACTGACCCGCCTGGAAACCGCCCGACATTTTCTCAACCTGCCCCATCCCTAATTCCGAGCCTTTGTGATCAGGGCTGAACGCAGTTGCGGATTGCGTGAAATTGTGTGTTTTTTTGACTTCGTATTGCGGCTGCTGAAAATTTTTTTCAATTGCGCCCACCCATGTTTTGGGGTTTGTTAATTTTCTTTGAATAAGAAAAAATATCTTTTTTAAAACAATATCTATACCATTTAAAAATTAAATTTAACGATCAGAAATTAAAAACAAAAATCAAGTAAAAAAGAAAATATTTGTCAGTTATTTTTTACTCTGTTTTAATCTCACGTTTATAAATAATTATTAAATAAATCTAATTAAAAAATAAAAGAAAAAAATAAAACATTTGTTCCAAAATTAATTTAAAATTATTTATTTTATATAAATGAACACAAATTAACAGCTGTTACCCAATAATGTATTGCTTTTGTTTATATAAAAATTTCTAGACAAAATTATATACAAATTTTTAATTTAATTTAGGTAATAAATTATTAAAAAATTTGAACTAAAAATAAAAATTTTTCTTCAATAGGGCAAGAAAAGGAGGTTTTCCAAGGCCCAGACCCACTAGCCATGAGTTCCGAAATCAGTAGAGTAGCTGTTTGTACATTGTAATATTTCGAGATACTCGTCCTGATATGTTCGCACCAAAAGTGGATCTGAACAGTCAGAGGTGTCGGAAATCGGAAGATCCTGAAATCGGAACTGGCTCAAAAGTCGGAAATCGGAACTCAAAAATTTTTTTCGGAAATTGGAGCGCGGAAGGAAAAAACGTCGGAAATCGGAAGTCGGAACTGTCGGGAATCGGAACTGGATCAAAAATCGGAAATCCTACCTCTGGTCCTAACGCCATATGAATAGATTTTAAATAATATTGTACATACATTTAATTAAAAATTAATTTTTTTAATTTATGGAAATTATTCAATTAGACATATGTATAAACTTAAAATACTAAATAAAATAAAATAAATGCGTCTTAATTAAATAAAAGTTCAAATTTCATCGAAATAATCTGAACTTTTTTTCGTCAAAAATTTAAAATATTTTTTTTATATTTTACAGCTGATATATTTGTTTTTCTTAAATTAACGAACAGAGGATCAGCTTTCCAATAGTTTAATAGAGGAACTTTGACTGCTTTAACATTTGTTTGTTTTTTGAAATAAATTTGTTTTTTTTTTGTTTAATCAATTCTTTCAAATATAAAATAAATATTTTTTAAAATTAATTAAATAAGAATGGCTTCAATAGCATCAGCTTTTTCAGCAGCAGAGATAATTCCACAAATATTGCCTGAAGCTCCAAAACAAAAATTAAATGTTAATTATGCTTAAAATATAGTTCCCGTATATGCCCGAATAATCAGTGATGCGGGGGTTCCGGTTCCAGAACCGGAAACGGCCACATTTTGGAATTTCCGCATCACTGCGAATAATTAACTTCTCTTAGCTAATCTATATTGAAAATAAATCTAGTTTGTTCTCGATTTACTGAGATCCACTCGCTCCCCCACCCTCTCCTCCCACATCAAATCTAGCTCGATTAATTACCTTCCCTCTTAACGAGATTTCAAAATAATAATTATACAGGGTAATTATTTGAACATATTCGGTAATCAGCGTTTAAAGAGGGTCAAGTAAATTGATAATTAAATCGAGGGATAATCTAAATAAAATAGAATAGGTAATATATTTCTGATTAATTTATTTACTTAGGTTATGTTCAATGGAGTTCAGGTAGAGCCTGGAAATGAATTGCCCGTTCACCATCTTAAGGTACTGATTTTATTTAGAAATTAGTTGATTAATTATTAGAGAATGTATTTTATATTAATTTCTTAAAATATTACCTGTTATGCTTTTGAAGCAGTTAAATTAAAGTTGCTTGTTACCGGTTACTTTTCACCTGAGGCGGCTCAAATGCCTTTAAGATTCACCACATGTGAAGATTGACCGGTCGCCAACAACCCTTAATTTAACTCAAAAATTAACAACTAAAAATTTCAATAAAATAAAATTTTTAGAATGCACCTCGTGTAACTTTAAATGTCGACCCTGAGAGTACATTTTCAATTGTTATGATTGGTTAGTGTTTAAATTGTTATCAATATATTTTATAAAAACTTAAAATTTAAATTTCAACATTTTAAAATCATTTTCAGACCCAGACAATCTTTCAAGAAAAAATCCAAGTGTAGCAGAATGGCTACATTGGTTGGTTGCAAACATTCCAGCTTCCAACATTTTGGAAGGAATTAATGGGGGGCAACATCAACAACCTTATGGTAAAAGAAAGAGTTTTTGCAAAAGTTTAGCCACCGGGCAGGATTACTTGCAACCACCTGCTAGTTGTTGCTAGGCGCTTTCGCTCACCATATGCAGAAGCTTTACCATTGAGCTACCGGGGCATCGACCAATGCTTTCTACTTTTTCATTTTAGATCGTTTAACTCCCGCCTAAGCGTTTTAAATGCTGCTGGGTGAATCATCCTTACATAAATTTATTTTGAAAAAACATTCAATATTAGTCTAAAACAGGGCTCCGATCGACAAAATGCCACTCAAAAGTATCAAAATCTTGATTAAAAAGTATATAGGGAGAAAATTTGTAAATAAAAAGTAGTCTCAAAATTAAATTAGAAAATATTTATTCGTACTCAAATCTTTTATATTTCTCTCGTAAATGAATCTTTTCTAATAATTTCTTGTTTCAACTGAGCATTTTGTCAATTTTAATGGACCTTTTGTGGCGCCGAAGGCGCCAAAAAATCTATTTTCTGCGCCGCAGGCGAAAATTTTGAAAATTTTGGAGGTCCTTAAGCCAGATTTCTTCCATTTTTTGCGCCGCAGGCGAAAATTTTGAGAATTTTGGAGGTCCTTAAGCCAGATTTCTTCCATTTTTTGCGCCGCAGGCGAAAATTTTGAGAATTTTGGAGGTCCTTAAGCCAGATTTCTTCCATTTTTTGCGCCGCAGGCGAAAATTTTGAGAATTTTGGAGGTCCTTAAGCCAGATTTCTTCCATTTTTTGCGCCGCAGGCGAAAATTTTGAGAATTTTAGAAGCCGTAGGCCAGAAAATTCACTTTTTTGCCCGATCCCTTCCTTAATTTCATTTTCAATCAAAAAAAAGTATATACTTTCAAAAAAGTAGAAATTCAATTTCGTAAGTGTTGAGGTCGATTTAAAAGTAGACTACTTTTAAAAAAGTAGGAATCGGAGCCCTGGTCTAAAATTTTTATTTATCTAACAATTTAATTATTAATTTAATTTGCTAGCCCCTCCTAAAAATATAGTAAGAGCGAGGTAAAAGTTTAATCCCGGGCAGGCTTCGATCAGCGACCTCCTGGCAGTTATTGCTAGGCGCTTCACGTACAGGTGTTCTACCAACTGAGATACCTGGACGCTGCTTTCACCATCTCTTTTAATAGACCCCCGCCTAGTGAGCGTTTTAAATGCTAGCCAGCTGGATGCTTTCTCTTCCTTACAAGATTTAAATTAAGAATATATTACCTATAATTTATAGGATCCCCTGCCCCTCAACCAAGGACTGGAGATCACCGCTATATAATAGTTCTTTTTGAACACCAAGGTCGTCGCCTTCAAGTTCCAAAATACAATACCAGAGCTAAATTTTCTTTGAAAAAATTTATGGAAAAACATCAATTAGGTAAAGAAAAGCGTATGTATAAGCTAATAATTTTTAATTATTATTTTAAATAGAAGGATCATTATTGGCCGCTAACTATTTTATAGCAAAAAACCAACAGCAGTAATAATTAATTTCATAAAGGAATTGAGCTAGTTATTTAGAAGAAATTAAATCAGTGATTTTAGATTAAGGTAAAGAAATGAAAGTTTTCTTTCAATTAACCCGAATTAATTGTAAATTTTCCAAATATACCTATGTATTGTCGCAATTAATAAATTTTATTTTATTAAATTTTGAGATTGACAGGAAGGTATTACAATTTAGAATTTTGTGGTCTTCATATTAGAGATCGGCCTGGGTCTAGACCAAGGCCTGGGTTTTTCTTGTGCAAAAAGTCTAGGCCCGGGCATTTTTTGACCTTCCTTAGTTTTTTCGGGGACTGGGTTTTTTCTTGACTACAGTCTCAGGATCCGGCCCAGGTCAATAAATATAACTCAGAACAAACCCAGCCTTTTCAAAAATCCCAATCTCTACTTCATATCATTATGAAATAAAAATATTAATTAAATTAATTAAGAAGCTTTGCTTTATTCTGATTATTTTTAATAATTCTTATAAATTCTTAAACCTAAATCTTTCGTTGTAGGGAATTTTTTGGGGAAAACTTATCTAAAAAATAGCGAGTCATCATAATTAACCTTCAAACCGAATACAACCGTTGACAAGGTAGCGGCTTGGAGCGCCGTAGCACCTCTCTACCTTAGGGAAGGGCTGGAGGGGGTTATAAGGGATTCAAACGGGAAACGGCGGCTAATCGACTCGCATAATTCATAATAAAAATAATTTTTATATAAATGATGATTTATATTTTCTCCATTATTCGATAGGGAGTAATTTATAAAAGAGTAAGAAGATATTTTAAAAAAATATTTTTTTTTAATATTTCTTGCCTTCTTTCCCCTCCAATTTTTTAATTATTTAAAAATTTATTATTTCAAAATACTTTATTTTTTAATAAATAAAAAAATATGATAAATAATTATGAAATTAAAAAGTACAAATGCACTTAAAGCCGATAAAGACTAGTGCATTCCCATATTTATTTTTTATTTACATAATTTTGTACTTTTTTGTACTTATTTGCTTTGATTTAAAATTCGAGACACTATCATATGGCAGATGAAACTGATCTGTCATGTTTGGCGGCAGAGCGGCTCGAAATTTCGATTTTCGAAGATTTATTTGATTCGACGCAGCTCTCTTTGCAGTCATTTCGCCCTTCCACAATAGAAGGCCTTGTAGATTTTCAATAACTATTAATTGGGACTTTTTTTGAATTTGTAAATAAACTCGGTGGACCGCCAACTGGACGTTTTCCCCAAATTTTTATTCTCATCTACTCTACCTTCTCTTGTAATTTGATGTTAAAATTAATTTTTTGCAAGAATGTATTTAATACATATATTGGCGAAGATTTTCTTTTAAATGTATTTATTTATCTCCACTGTAATTTACATTGTTACATGTTTTTTTTATTTTTATTATTTTTGACATTCTCTATAATATACGATCTTTTGGCCCAAAGCAATGCTGCGTCGTTCTGGTTCCAATAATCGAACAATTAGGCAGCTCCCGTTCATAGAAAATTCCATTTTTTTGACGGTTCTTCGGTTCAGGATCATGTTCGTTAAACTAATTCCAGTAACTGCAAGAAAACACTGTCCAAATTTATAGAGGTCTGACTGTATATTGAATTTAATATTAATTACCTTTTTTAAATTTAAATGTTTATTAAAATAATTTTTTTTATTTTTTTTGTGTGATAATCTCTCATTTCATTAATTCTAACATGTACAAATTTGTACACTAAAGTGATTTAATTTTGAAATATTTTTTAATAAATAAAAAAATTCTTTCAAATTTTTCTACCCCAAAAACTACTTTTTTAAAATAAAAGAAATAATTTAATCAGAATTAAAGTTGTCTTAAGTAGAGTTGGGCGGGATCGGGATACCAGTCGGGATCGGGCGGGATTATCCCGGTTTGTTTGAATCCCGATCCCGATTTTTCTGATCCCGAGACCGAAAGACAAATCACGGTTTCGGCCAATCCCGATTCCAAAGCCGGGATCGGGATCACTATTGTAAAATCCCGACCGGTTTTACGTCGGGATCCCGATCCCGCCCAACTCTAGTCTCAAATTTAAAAAATTAAATTTTTGTAAATAATTATTTCCTTTATTGTCTAAATCTTACCCATTTTATTTAAAAAATTTTTTTCTCGTTAAAATCGTTAAAAATTTTCTTTAAACACTGAATTTAAGTATTTATTTGTACTTTTTTTAAATGTAATTTTCTACTAAAATATACGAATTTTCGAATATGTCCCTTTTTAATTTAGCTATTAGCTGTATATAATAGAATATACATCCACTCTTTCATTAATAAATTCCCTTTTTCCTTCTCATTTACTTCTTTCCTCTCCCCATTTTTATTTCTCAATTTTATAATAAATTTTAAATTATAATATTTCTCAAGAAAAAAGAGAAAATAAAATAAAACCGAATTTTTAAAATTATTTCTTTAAAGTTTAAATATTTTTAATTTAAAAAATATTAACAATAAACTCTAAATAAGTTTACTAAAGTCCTTACAATTATGACAATCCCTCCTTACTTTAAAGATTGGGCGGACTTCGAAAGTTTAACCCGAACAACCTAAAAACGTCCTTCTCGAAAATTGGACATGAAAAATATCGTGGTGCGACATTTGGGGATCAGACTTTTGGAGACCCGACAGTTGGGGACGACTTTTGGGGACCCGACTATTAGGGACTCGACAGGAAGTAGTCTGATCCCAAAATCTGATCCGCAAATGTCGAATAGCCGAAAAATATACAACAATCCAATTTGAGTTTTGCCCTATTTGAGGTTTGCCCTATTTGAGGGTTGCCATATTTGAGGGTTGCCCTATTTGAGGATTGCTCTGACCGAAGACGGCAACACCCCTTAGTTACAACATTTCTTAAATATTTTTTTACCGAATATTATTATACATAAATATATTTTTCTTTGAATTTTTATTTTTATCTTTAATAAATTATAGTACATATTAGTACATATTATCACGCTTTTAAAGTGCATCCCATCCCTTTTCTATCTAATACATGTCTAGTTTATTTTTTGTTTTTAAATTTATCATTTTTTTATTTCTTTTTGTTATTAAAATTAAATTAAATTATTCTTAAGATTTTTTAAAATTTAAAAAAAAAGAAAATGGATCCCCTCTCAAAATATAAGGGAAGAATTAATGGAGAAAAAAGACTTGTTGAAAATTTTAAATATGAGATAACTTGTTACAAAAAAGATGGAAAATTTATTTGGACAAAACAAAAAATTAGTCCCCCATTTAAATGTGCTGTCTGTGAACAGAAATGTACATTTCATTATTATGGTGTTTTAAGTTGTGAAGGTAGAATTTTAAAAGTATACTTAAAATACCTAGTCAATAGTGAAAGAGATAGTCATTTAATTCCTAAAGATATCCCTTAGCTTTCAATAATTACTAAAGTTGTGCAGGAGGCGGTGCGGAGTAATGGATAACACTAGAGACCGGACTGGGAGGGTGGGGGGTCGTATGAGAATCTCGATCACGCTAACCGAGGTTTTTTTCGAGATCTCGTCCCAATCTAATCTCTACTTAACACAACAGTCC